CTGTCTGGGGCAGCGGCGGCGCTCCCCCCGGGGCCTGGACCGCCCCCTCCACCACCCCCGCCCCCCAAGCGCCACTGCCGCTCGCTGTCGGTGCCGGAGGACCTATCGCGCTGCCGCTACACCTGGAGGCCCAGCGCTTCTCGCGTCTGGACTCCCGTCAGCCGCCAGCAGTGCCACGGCGGCGTGGGCGGAGGCGTGGCGGGCGGGGGCGTGGCAGTGGCGGCAGGGGGTGTGGGCATGGCAGGGGGCGGAACCTGCCCGCTGCGCGCCCCCAGCTCCTCTCTGACGTCATCGCTGCACTCCTCTTCCAGCCCCACCTTCTTCAGCCTGGCACTGTCGCCGGACTCCCCATTGCCATGGAGCTTCCCCTGGGACCCCAGTGAGGCGGCGGCAGGAGGTGGAGCCTGCTGTTGCTTTTTCCCCTCCCCCTCCTCCTGCTCATCATCACCCTCCCCCCTGCACCCGCCTCCGCCCCCCCAGCGGCGCTTCTCCCTCTCGCCGGTGCTCATCAGAGACTCGGCCACCTCCACCTTCCTTCCTCCACCTCCGGTCCCCAGCCAGGCGGCACCACCCCCGCCTGGCTACGCCGCCGCCGGAGCCGCCGTTGGGGGGCCGGTACCCCCCTCGCCCTCTTCCGCCTGCAGCACGCCATCTTCTCTCCGCCGCAGCCTCCCGCCTCAGCTGCCACGCTGCCACTCGCAGCCCTGCGACCTACTGCTGCTGAAGCCGGGCTTGAAGCGGCGCCGCGACCCCGACCGACCCTGCGCCCGGCCCGTCCTTGACTTCACCAAGATGACACAGGTAGCCGATTGGTTGGTGTGTTTGCTATTTTATTTTGCTAATAATACAAATTTATTCTTATGACTATTCTCATGTTATTACAACTTTATGCTGGTATTTTATTCTCATGTTATTACGACTTTTATCATGTTATTATCACAACTTTATTCTCGCTACGCCTTCTCGTATTATTACGACTTTATTCTCATCATGACCTTCTTCTTGTATTATTATGACTTTAATGCAGTGCTTAGCTCCTTGCTTATATCTTTCCTTAGAGTCTTTAATGTGTTTAGTGCCATGTTTATCTCTGTGTTTAGCTTCCTTTTTCTCACCGTGTTTAGCCCCTCCTCCTGCTTCCTTTCGTCCCTGCAGACGCGCAGCATCGACCCGCAGTGCCTGGAGCGCGGCGGTAGATTAGCCTGTGGCGGCGACGTCTGTATGGGCATGGAGGCCTTCATGGGCGACTTTCGGGGCTCCTGCTCGCCCGCCGAGTGCCTGGGCCGCACCAGCATCGGGCCGCTGAGTGAGAGTGACGAGGAGTGCCGTGAGGATGATGAGGACGAAGAGGAGGAGGCAGAGGAGCGCGAGGCGGCACAGCAGACCGTATTTGAGAGGGATTGTACAGAACTGGACCTGAACTTGATAGAAGAAAACTGACTTGTTGTAAATGAAGGCTGTTCTCTGTTTCTGTTTTCTAACTGAGTTTTATTTTGAAATGACCTGACCCCAGCCCTTCTTCCTGTCCCACCATCTTCTCAACACTCGGCAAGTCCTCGCCACCAATCAGCAGAGCTCTCAGGAACAACATCTTCTCCCATTGGACGAGCTGATTACTGGCAACAGTGATGATGTGGCGGCCGACAGACCTGGATAGACTGGTCCGTTCCAGTTGGGTTGGACCAGTACCAGCTGCGGTCCAGGTAACTTCCAACACGTCTGACGAGGCGAACGCGGCGCTGCAGCGGCCGACCTAGACGGTCCTGAACCGCTACAGAAACATAATCCAGAATAATCTTCACACCAAAGATGAAATGAAACAAATACTCTCATAGATATAAAAAAATCAAATGAGTTCTGATCTGAAACAGAGATTAAAAAGTTAATTTTGCATCTAGTGACAATCAAGAGTCTAAAAAATAATTTCATCACGAGGGCCTTTAAATGCTGAAAAACCTGCAGATTTCTGAATTTAAATTCCTCCAAAAACAAATGATTTTCCATTGCTGCAGTCATGTGACCCGGTCTTGGTGATGCGTTCAGGGTCGCTGCGGCGGTGCCTGTCAGTCGTCGCTGAGGGCAAAAAGCCACTGATGCTGTTGTTCAGCCGAGTGTTCGCACATTCCTGCTGTACACAACTGTCACTGAAAACACTACAAGTGTGTGTGTGTGTGTGTGTGTGTGTGTGTGTGTGTGTGTGTGTGTGTGTGTGTGTGTGTGTGTGTGTGTGTGTGAGTGAGTGAGTGAGTGAGTGAGTGAGTGAGTGAGTGAGTGAGTGAGTGAGTGAGTGAGTGAGTGAGAGAGTGAGAGACAGACAGACAGACAGACAGACAGACAGACAGACAGACATCACACCCTGCTGGTCATGTGACCTGTGCTTAGATTGAATCCACTGGATTTCTCCTGACAGTTTGTGTTTTAATTTAAATCGTTCAGTCATCTAGGTTTGGATTAAACCATAAAAAACTGCTCTAGTTATTTTCTGTTCAGTGAAGCAGAAACTTTAACTCATCTCCAGTTTTAGGATCTGTAATCTTGCCACAAAAACAACAAATTATTTAAGAAATAATGGAAATAATATATAAATACAAACTGAGAATTAACTTTGGATTCAAAAAAGGAACTTGAAAAAAAAACTTCAGATAGCAGTAAAATGCAAATTACAGCCATGAATCTGATAAATTTGGCATAAAAAAGGTGAATCTGGGATTTAAATGAAATTGGTTTTAATCTCCAGAGGAAAAATTAATCCAGAGGAACAAACTCCCTCAAATTTTCAGTGAAAGACTTAAGCAGGTTTATTACTGGAGTCTTACTGGTTTGGTGGAATAATCTTGATTTAAAACGATAAATTTTTACTTTGTGTAAAAATGACAAGGATGTTTTTGTTTTAACTGGTAAATCTTAAATGTAATGTCAGCCACTGCCAATAGGGGGCAATCCAAATATTTAATATTATTGTTCTAACTTTATTTGTCTGAGTTGGATCCAAATATACGCTGAAAATGGCAGAAGAAACACATTTTTTTCAGTCGGTTTCAGAGTCTGAGTCACACAAATGAACGATCCGGGCTGAACTGTGTTTAGTTAATCTGACAGAACCACTTAATCTGGATTCAATCTGAGCACTGAGAAGTCACATAAACTGTTAAACATTTTAGTTTCACTGGTCGTTTGAGCTAATTGTTTCACATCCTGCCAGGTTTATGATATTGTGTTCACCTGTTAGAGTTGGATAATCCAGCCCAGTCGCTGTTTAGCAGCTTTTCTGTTAGCTTTGATGCATAAACAGGACACAGTGATTTTATTTCCCTTTTTTGGGTTTTGATCAACTCAGAAAAAAAAAAAAATCCAACGATAAAGATGATTTTTGATATAAGAAAGAACAGAATATGATGTATTTCAGCATCTGAGATTGGGAAACGCCCTTAAATGCATCAAAACAAGATTTTATACCGTTTTCACGCTGAAGCTGTTTAGAGGCTGGTTGGTGGATTATCGGCATTCTGCTGTGGCTACTTTACTGTTAAACTTTTATAAATAATTTAAACCTTACATCGTCTGTGTGCTATGAAGCATCTCTGCCCTCCAAAGCAGTTATAAACTGGGCTGAAACACAGAATATAGTCCGGTCACGTCATGACAACAATCTGGAAAAAGAAAATAAAAATTAGCTAACCCCCTAACGCTACTTTGCAAACCGTTATCTGTTTTTTATCAGAGGGAAAATTTAATCCTGTGTGTTTGGGAATAAATCAACATTTAATTGTATATTTATCCGTTTTATAGTTTAAATTACAACAATTTATTCTTAAATTATCACACACCTTGTCGATTTTATTTTTTTCTACAGTTAAAAGCAGGCCTTTGTGTTAGACTAGTTGACTCGGTGGTCATTTAATTGCATAAGGAAAATTTTTTTGGCGTGCAGTTGCTGCTGTCTGCCTTTGTGGGGCAGTGTTGCTACCTGAATGTCTGAGGTGTGTGTGTGTGTGTGTGAGTGAGGTGGTTAAATTCTGCCTGCTGTGGGCTCCTAATTTAAAACGCTTAAAGGAACAGTTCAATGTTTTTAGGAACAGTTTAGCCTCATGTTTGTGCCTAAGCTTTGAATCCTGGAGTGGAGGCGTGATCAGCGGAGCTAAAAGGGTCTTCCATGAGTTTTCATGCAGCATCCATATCATTTAATCCCAACTATAACTTGAAGCATGAAATCATCTCTACTCCACCTCTACAGCTGATTGCAGCCTTTCAGGTTCATCTTAGCTGAGGTCGTAAACACGTCTGGAAGCTAACGACTGTCTGCTGCCTTTATAAAAACTTTCATTTACATCTTTATGACTTTTTTTATTTGCCATACATGGACAATGATGTGACCATAGAGTATTAGCACAGACACTGGCCTGTTTGCTAAATAATATTAGCAAAACTGATAAGTATATTACCATCCTTTAATGCGAAACGTGATCAGCTAGTGGTTTTTTGGGCATCAGGAGGATGGAAATGCGTTACTTTGAGGCTGTCTATCTACCGTGGCTAGATTAGCAGATTAACATTGGCACAAATCTAAATGAGATTATTTATCAAAATGTTGAACTACTCCTTTAAGATTTAAAATTAAACCTGTATTTTGCTGTGAAATAAAGAATTGTAAATGTTAAGGCAGCGGTGAAATATAAACAAGGTTTAACTGAACTTATGAAGTAATTACAAAGTGAGCAGAGTGTCCTCATGTAACATTTATTTACTGTGTCTCAGATACTTTCCCTCAAACGCTGAAGTAAAACCTGAACACATAAATTAAACAAAATGTGTCAGAAGGCGGTCTCATAGTCATTGGGAGTCATGGACGGTCCCTGGAAGACGGGTCTGGACATGGCGTCCCCGTGAAACACAGAGTCCTCGATCGAAACAGAAACACCAAACATCCCTGTAAGTCAAGCCGTTTTCAAACTTCAGAGACATTTTTCTAACTGCTTATGGTTAGCCTCCCTATGTTTTTGCACCAAGAGATCCACTCCTCAGCGATTTAATTTCTGAAGGAGAATATTTTTGTTCCAACTGTTAGCAGGGGCTGAATGGTCAGCCATCACTGCACTCAGTCAGTTATATAAAGTCCTGTTTTTTCCTATTTATAAAACAATGCAGTAACGTTTAGTTGGTAAAAAGTTTTCTATCAAAGGAAACTCTGCAGATTGTATTGAGTAATTCCTCCTGCTGAACAAGCATGTGGTGACGGTGGGAAGGAAAACCCTGTTTAGGAATGCAGTTATTTCTGTACTTCCTGGAGTGCGCGACACAACGCAACATCCCAACAAAACCCGATAACTTAGAAAATCCTGATTAGACAGGGAGGAAGACACTTTATGACAGGAATTCATCATTAGAAGATCTAATGTCTTCATTTCTCATATTAGCTGCATTCACCCTCCTGTCTTCATCCACCCGGTCTGTTTCTTTTAAATATCATGCATAGCATCCAGCATAAGCCTTAACTGAGCGTATTCTGTTATCCTGTAACCACAACATTTAAAACCAACAGAACAAAAGGAAAATGTGTACTGTAGCCGTTAATTTTTTAGTCCTTCTGTTGATCATTTTCTGCTGTTTTTTCTTAATATTTCTAATCTGATGTCTGAACGCAGTAAAGGTGTCGACATGAAGACATCGAGTTGGAAAACCGTGTTTCCATAAGGATGAGGAGTAGTCATGTATAGTTAGTGAAGAGTCTCAGACATCTCCTGTCTTTTAGAAATGTTTTTTATTGTACGTGATTTACCAGAAAAGACAAATGTCAACATGACAATTTGAAAAGCAGTTTGTGAATAAATTAAGTTTACTGAGAATTATTTTACAAGGAAAGTGGAAAAAATGGTGTCCTGTGTTTTATTTCCCTCTCCCATTTTGCTGATATGCTGGGTTTGGGTTTTTCCATCTGGGTTCTGTTCATCACGGTCCAATGTCTCCACTCTGTTCTCATCGGTCAGAGTGGACATCGTCCCAGAAGTCTTTGCAGTTTTGATATGCTCAGTCCTGCTGCCATCTTGTTTCTAGAGAGAAGAGGCTTTCTTCTTCAACTCTTTCAAGCAGCCATACAAGTTGATTGTCTTGACCTTTAACCTTTATCCTACTAACAGGCCTGTGGAGATGAGCTCATATCTCTGAGCTTCCTGGAAATGACCATTGACCCTTCCCAGGTTGATGAACAGCAACGGTTGCTGCTCTGGCCCTAGTTTGTGTCAGAAGCTCAACAAATTTTTGATGTGAAATATTAAAACATGACAGTGAAGTTATTTATAAACAAAAACAAAGATCCTGCATGAAGAACTTCTTTAGTTCACTAAATTAAAAATAAAAACGATAATATTATCAAATTGACCAGAGGTCGGAAGAACGAAGGCTTAAACAGCTCATAGACCTGCTATCAATAGATGCTTCACTGACTGTTGGTTTTCAGATTATAGACAAAAATATCTAAAAGTATGAAGATGAATAGATTTACAATTAAATTTAGAATGCATTTTTAATTTTACTTAGTGTTTAGTTAATATAATATTTGACATTTTTATAATGGCTGTTTATTTTTTACAAAAGCAACAACTTTAAAGCTGTTAACAATCAAAGTGTAATGAGAGAAACTTCCTGGTTCCTCCGGTAGATAGGTTATCTGTTGAGATGCGTCATCTGTTCAGTTTTTCTCGGCTGGGCTGCTCTCTGCGGGGGGGCTGCTGTTCTCTGAGGTGATGGCCGGGGCAGAGGTGACGTTGATGGGGACGATCCGTTCCTTCCCGTCGCTTGGCGGTTTCTCCCTGGGCGCCTGGATCTGCAGCCGCCCCCCCACCAGCGAGCAGCTGACGGTCTCCGGGTCGACGCCCTCCGGCAGGTCAAACTCTTGCCTGAACTCCTGACACCTGTAGGAATACGAGCCCTTCCCGTCGTCCTGCTTCTTCTCCGTTCTGCCACTCACCCGCAGCTTCCTGCCGACCTGTTTGACGGACAGCTCCTGTGGGGCAAACTCGGCCGTGTCCAGACTCAGTGCGAAGGTGTCACCATCCTTCCCCAGCTCCTGGAAGGCGATGGGTCTCAAAGCCCCCGCAGAGCAGGAAGTCTGGTCGATCTCCTCGAAGATCTTCTGGTGCAGCCGTTCCATGTACTCCATGCTCTGCCTCATCTCCTGCATGTGGCGGATCATCTCCTGCTCCATTTGGTAGAAGAGCGGCCGGGTCTCGGGCCACAGGCTGCGGATGGGCCAGTGCAGCTCCAGAAAGGGCCTCATGGCAGCCGGAGTCGCCTGGAAGATGCTGGGACACAACATGCTGTCGGTCTGTTGGAGGCTGAGAGGATCTCTGATCTGCTGCTGCTTTGTCTGAGAGATGTCTGTCCCTAGTTGCATTTATACCCCAGCAGCCCCAACACGCTTCAGCAGGAAGGTTCCAGATGCATTCCTCACTGTGTGTGAGTGTGTGTGTGAGTGTGACTGTGAGTGTGAGTGTGTTCAGCTGCTTAATACAGACTATGACCGAGCCCTGCAGCAGAAATAGAACAAATCTGAGACCGTCGGCATGTGGCACATGTTTGCAGAGATTTCTTTATGAGGTTCATCACTCACAGAGGAACACACCATTACCCAAACGCCATTCTGACTCATAACTCCTAAATCAGCTTGGGACTCTTAACTAGAACCAGAGAAAATGTCCTGAAGAACTCCAAACCGGAGGACGACCCTCATAATCAGGGCTACACAAATGTAAAACACTCAGTGTCCTGTTTCCACTCACTTCTGAGGAGAACAGCAAGTCTGTTGGCCAACTTTTTGATTTAGAAAGGAATGTTTGAAACCTTGTCATCAGACATTTGAATGTCTTTCTCTCTAAAGATGTTTGATTTTTTCCCATCAGCTCAAGTGAATGACATGGCAGGTCTGGTTGCATTTGGTCGCCTTATATCGCTTTTACTTAGTTAAGTTCTCTGTAAAAAACGTAATATGATGTTGCACAGTCGACTGCACAAAGAGACAAGAATGCAAACCGAACTTGTCAGTTTATTCTAAACCTTTGATGAGGAAAGAAGATGGCGATAGTAGCCACAAGTTATAAAGACTGGCAGCTCTCGATGTATTCACAGATTTTCAGATGAAATGTTTTACAGGGTAAGAAGATTAATATTCATACACTTCATAAGTAAGTAAGAGACAATCAAATATAGTGTTGTGAAAAAGGTATGCAACTAATCATTAGAAGCCACGTAGCCTTCATTAGAAGGCTTTTAAGTGTGCTCTGGCGTAAGGGGACATAGTGATATAAATCATTTGGCCTGAACTCAGAAAAAGCCAGTGATTTGATCAAATCATCATCCGAGGGAGAAGGTATGGGTCAGATCTAAGTCAACCAGCACCGCTATGATCACCAACTAGGTGTGCTAGTTCCACAGGCAATTTAGTTTTATTTGACCAAGTAGAATACCATAGCTATACTGGCAAAAACAACTTGGGAAAACCATTGGAGTAGCTCAGTTCAATGGCGCCTCTACATGGTTAGGTGACGTAGTTGCAAAGTGACAACAGCAGCCCCCTTTTTTGAGTTGCTTAGCATCTGAGAATTTAAATCTGGTACTGTTCACTCTCTCTACTGTTTGGCTTGTTTTTTCCCCCTTTTCTATTTAGCTGATGATTGTTTGACTTACACCACATGACCACCTGATTCACCTCATTTCTGTAGTTTGTTTTGTTGACAAGGTCCACCACGGTTTATCTGAAAATGTGATAGAGTTTTCTGCTGCACTGGTGCCACTGGAAATAAAGCAGCACCACAGCCTGATCCTACCACCATGCTTGACAGCTGGTATAGGTAGTTTGAGAGGCTTTCAAACATTCTTGTTATTGTGATCAAAGAGCAAAATCTGTTGGTCTGAGAATCAAACCTTTCTCCAGAAGATATGTGATTTGTCCAGGTGACCTGTAACTTAGAGCAATAATTATTCAATAATTAATAATTGTACAGCACACTAAAATTTGCGTTCATAAGCTGAAATGTATCATACTTGGTTTCTAATAAGTACAAAACTTTTATTTACTTTTATGGAATTATTAATCTGAATATCTGTAATGTATTAATTTATATCAATAATGTCCAGACAGGTAATCTCTGCAGTGTTAAACAACCTCCCGCTTTAACCACTGAGTTTATTTCCTGCCATCATTTCTATTTTCACCAGCAGCCTGAGATCTCCCGCCTTTAGCGTCACTGGCCAATGGCATTAGTTCCGGGTCTACCATTAGCCAATCAGGTGATTGCTGTGAGTGGAAAGTGAATGACGGTAAGTTGTTGCTAATTCAGGTCTGGAAGCTTCGTAAGGTCTTTAAACGGGACCTGGTGATGCAGCTGCGGTCAGATATTTCTCAGGCGACGTGACTAGACTTTCTTCAGGAAGCAGTAGAAGAAAGAATGGTGTCAGCCACCCAAGAGCACTAGTACAGGACCAGAACAAACTATCTCTCCCTTCTCTGGTGAAATTGGCAACATGGTCTGGGGGATTAGCTCAGATGGTAGAGCGCTGTTGCAAACGAGAGGCAGCGGGATCGATGCCTGCATCCTCCAAGCTTTTCGATTTTATTTTGTTTTGTTTTAAAGTGCAAGACTAACTCAAAATCCACAGTAAAACTCTGCTTTTTCACTTCATTGGGTTCAACGCTGAATGTATAAACCTGAGGAGTTGATCTGGTTATGGAAACCTCTTGTCCAATTTCTGAGAGCTCTTGATCGCAAAGAATTTAGCTTTTCCTGTAAGATTATAGCAAAGGCATTATCTTTTCTAATATTACAAGAATAATTACTCCTTAATTCAATTCACAATCAATAAACCGTTTTTTCCCAAATTAAATGCGACCAAAGAGACATTTATGTTAGAAAAGCAGATGATTTTTCAGGAAGAGCAGCTAAATCACAGGTTATTTTCAGTAAGACCACCAGAGGGCGCTACCCATTCACATACATCAGTCCTGGAAACTGAAACTGAGTTCACATTCGTCAGACTTAGCTTGTTTCCGCTTTGAGTTACCGTGACAACTAGAAAAGACAAAGTCGTATTTAAGACGCAAATGAAGCAACACATTGAATATTGTTGTCTTCCAAATATAATGGACCTTTACGTTTTCATGGATTTCCAAGCGATCCTGAATCCTGATCCAGTTAAAATATTCATTTGTAACAGTTAAAGCTAACGCCGCACAGCAAAGTCTGCAGCCTTCACTTTACTCCGGATCAGTTTCTTCAGGGTAAAACTACCGGGGGGAGACGGATGGTAAATAAAGAAAACGTTCCTCAGTTATTTCCATGGAACCACTTGTGTATTCAGTCTGAAAGAGCGAGTGTATGGGAACGACCAGCAGACCACAGCCAGGCAGCTGAATATCCGCCTGTACGCACTGCTGTAACACCGTCCTATTTGAGCTTTTCGCAAGAAGCATACAAAAGTAATAAAACGAAATAACACGGAGACCTAAAGAAACACGCCCATATTTTTTCTAAAAGCAACAACTTTGAACCAGAACAGTCAGGTGAACCAGATCTCTGACACCAGAGCTGCCCTACTTTTAAGCTATGAGGCTTGTTGTGCTTCGTCATGCTTCGGAAGCTAAAAGCCCGAACCCCGTTACTTGGTCTCTGACACTAAAGACAATAAACATACAGAACATAGTTGAAAATAAGGTCAAAACATCGTCCGTTAGAATGGATTAAAATGCTTAGATACTTAAATAGCACATTTTTACAAGAAACATATCCGAGAATATTGCCTACTAGCATAAACTAAAGTTAATGTTAG